GGACTTGGACTAAGGGGCAGGACTCTATGAATGTAGAACCTTCCAGAGTCATTTCTGTAGCTCCCTGGAGCAGAGCCACCTCCTTGAGCTCGTTGTCCCCTTAATTCTGTGCATAGCCTGCACATTGTAGGTGCCCCAGAAGTAATTTTTTGAATAAATGAATCCAGGCTGCGCTGGAGCCAAGGGGTGTGGAGCCGGCCAGGCACGTGTAGGAGCGCATTCCAGCAGCTGTCTGGAAGGCTGGGCTGGTTCTGTGTTACCTGGGAGTATTTTCTGCAGACAGAAGGCAACCCAGCATGTTAAACTACCTGTTCAGGGGAGGCGTGCATGTTCTGAGATTATAAAGCCGTGTTCTCGAGCTTTCCACCGCAGGGAAGTGAAGGTGTGCCCCCACCTCTCCTTAATGCAAGTAGGGCGGGAAGTCTCAGCCCATGCAGGTAGGGTTTGGGGACCAAGCTGTAGTGTCCTGCCACCTGTGGGTGCCACATTTGCAGCAGCCTTGTAGGTCAGGGATTACGTGGTTCAGCCGACCTGACTACACCCAGGCTGGGATGTGAGGACAGCAAGAAGGCCCACTGGCCCTGCAAGTCCTGTAAGCCTGGGTCCCTCAAGACAAAGCTCAGGTGGCTTCTGTATTAAATTCCTTCAAGGACCCAGCAGGGTGGCTGCTGCTTTGCCTGCTTTCAGAGGCCAGGATGCTGGTGTTTCCTACGTGTGTAACTGACAGCCCCACTCCACATTTGTTAAAAACCTTCACTCTGATGAGCATACAGTACTCCTGGCTTTTCATAATTCAGTTGAAACTCACTGCTGCTCCCTACTTACAGCAGAAGATGACCTCTAAACCATGACGAAGAGCTGCAGCTTCCTCTGGGAAGGAGGACTCACATTAATTTGTGCTCTGATCCCCCCCAACCCCCCACCCAACCCCGGGCTTAAGTGGCAGCACCTCGGAGGCCTGCTGAAGGCCGGAAGGCCTTCTGCCTGCGTGTTCAAACAGAGCAGATTGATGCCGAGTTAGACTTGGCCGGGAAGCAGCTCAGCTCTTCAGCGTGGAGTTGCTTCATGATAGTCACTCCCTCCAGCAGCCCCAGTGGCTCCGGCACTTCCTCCTGGTGTTTGCAGGGGGAAGGTGATGACTCTAATTGCAGAGGACTTGGCCCTGGCCTTGGTGATGGCAGGAGGGCAGGGTCCTCATGGTATGCCCAGAAAATGCTTGCAACTTGACCTTGTCCTCCTAATGATGTTGACCTTGGGCAAACTATGCCCCTCTGAGCCTAGTGCCTCAGTTTCCCCCCATTTCAAATGCAGCAGATAGTAGTGCTTAATCTCAGAGTTGTGGGGATTCAGTGAAACAGCATTGAACAGGGCTCAACAGGTACTTGGTACGTGGTAAGAGCTGAATCAAGAATGCTGAGTGTGGGATGATATAATGGGGACAGAGGAGAGGGGCTGAGGTTGCGTGGTGGGTACAAGCTGCGTTGCTTCAGCGATGGAAGCACTGAAGGCCCTGACTTGACCACGATGCAATGTATCGATGTAGAAAAATTGCTCTAGCACCCCATGAATATATGCAAACACACAAAATGATTGCTTAGCATGTGAGGAAGCCCTGCCCGCCTGCCTGGGCTGGAGGAGGAGGTAGTTCAGGTTGCATCTCTCTAAGGCAGCACCTGTGGTCTGTGTTACAATGACTGTTTTTTGTTTTGTTTTGTTTTTATTTTGAGACAGAGTCTCACTCTGTCGCCCAGGCCAGAGTGCAGTGACACAGTCTCGGCTCACTGCAATCTCTGCCGCCCGGGTTCAAGTAATTTTCCTGTCTCAGCCTCCCGAGTAGCTGGGATTACAGGCACCTGCCACAGCACCTGGCTAATTTTTGGAGCTTTTTAGCAGAGACGGCATTTCATCATCTTGGCTAGGCTGGTCTTGAACTCCTGATCTCGTGATCCATCGTGCCTGGCCCCATAATGAATATTTAGACGGAAGACAACAGAACTCAGCATTTCTTGCTCATGATAGGTCTACTGTGTTCCTGAAGGTTCTGTCTTCCTTCTGGCACTTGGGATGTGGGATGCTCACTCCTTGCCCATCAGCCTGGTAATACTGTTTTTCGATTAAGCAGTGAAAGATTTGGGGTTTCCCTGAAGTCTTTCCCAAATGTTTTGCATTGAGTTTTAGTTGTGAGAGTGTGCACATCCCAGGCGCAGTCAAGGCAAGGTTCTGGCACCATGCTGCTGCCACCTGCTCCTGTGCCCAGGTGTGTCTGGCCACCTGTTTGGTAACACACACCTTGCCTTGGGAACGTCTCTCTACTCCTTTAAATGGCTTGAAGTCTCTGCAATTTGCCTGAACATTAAGTGTGACCAAAGAGCCGGAGGCCAGCCATGGAGAGGACGAGGACAGGAGGCTGTCTCGAGAGCCACACTGGGAGAGGCCAAGAACACGGCCACTTCACATGAAAGGCTGTTAGATCCAGGTCACTGGGTTTGGACTCGTGCATTTTATGACAAAGTCTAAAAATGCAGATTTGTAACAACCACCGTTAATGAATTCAGACTGTTTGAATTTCACACTGAATAATGGCTGGAATGATCACAGCCCACAGCTTATGAGATCCCTGGATCGTGTTATCTTTTCTCAAGATTAAATTGATAGAATGATGTAATATCACATTGCTTTTATTAAAAGTTCTGGCCATAAAAGAGAAAGACCTAAAGGATTTAGTAAAAATAGTAGTAATAAGACAATTTCGGAATATGCGATGTATTCAGTAAATTTCAAAATTCTTCATCGCATTTAAAATGCAGCCTGTGCCCGCAGGTACTGAAGGCAGCACCTTTGCGCCCGAGGGCTTCCTCTTTCCTACACTACCAATATTCGATTTAAATGCAGATTTTGATTTGCAATCTAAGAAGAGAATTCTGGAAGAATGGGAAGAAGGACGACTCTGCATCCGTTAACTTAATTTTAGTTTATGTTATCCGTGGTTTTCCTCTTGTCCTTGTCTCCTCCAGCCCTTCCTTCCTGAACAAAGGTCGTCTCTAAACATACAAGGAAAGACATGCTTAGATTTCAGCATTTAAGAATATTGTTATACCAGGGCGGGCGTGGTGGCCCACACCTGTAACCCTAGCACTTTGGCAGGCCGAGGTGGGTGGATCACCTGAGGTCAGGAGTTCAATATTGTTATACCTTTTGTTTTTGTTTAAAAGTTAAATTTTAAACTTATTTCAAAAATGTTTGTTCCTTTGGTCCGTGTGTGTGCACGTGTATTTCCCCTGGGATCTAGCCTGGTCTTGCTTTTCCACACTTGTTCCCAGTACCTTACCGAGGAAACAAATGGACCAGTGGAATTAACAAGTGCAGCTGTTAGGACTTCCCTTCCCCGAGCACAAGTGACTTGTGTGATGTGGAGCTTTGGTTACTGAAGAAATGGATTTCTGGCTTTTGACATTCTACTCTGAGAATTAGGTGGCCAGTCATTTAAATACCATTTTCTTTCACTGCTGTCTGCATTTAATACAGCACCCCCCGCGGTATACGCTTGTCAGTTCAAACTGAGCATTACGTTTTGGTCTTTATGATCTGTCAAGGGAAAATGGAAGTAAATTCTTTATAATATGCTAATTGATCTATTTGCTAATTTTTAAATGGAGACAACATCTGTGCTCGCCACTAACACAGTTGATAGCGCCCGTTCCTCAACATGAGAAGGTTTCCGGAGTCTGTCTGTGATCTTGATGAGACCTTCCGTGTCCTCCCCAGGGCTTGGCAGTGTCCAATTTAAGGCTGTATTTTCTGGTGCCTCAGGACTGAGTCTGAACCTGCACGAAGTCCTGTTTGGAGGATGCTTCTGGCCACAGTGTGCTGGGATTGTGTTGGTGCTGGGAAGAGCCTAGGCTGGCAGACCCGGTCCTTCCCAGCACACGCATCCCCACTTCGTCCTCGCCTAGACCAGGCTGGCTGAGTGATGAGTCTAGAGAAAGAGACCGTGGACCTGAACAGTCCTCGGGACCCTTCTGCCACTCTTGGGGGTGCAGCCTCCCCTGGCAGCTTGACACGTTTGGGTTCTCCTTCAGCCAGGGGTTTTTGGCCACTCAGGAGCTTATTTTTCATACAAACTTGTTGATAGTTGCCTAAGGCAGGAAGCAATGCTTTATTGAGAGTGAGGGGTACCCTTTGAAAGCTGCCTCCTGAAAAAGACATGGAAGGACATGGGTCCAGTTGGAGTTCAGGATGGGGGCATCTTTCAGGGAACCTGGACGGAGGGCTGAGCGTTAGAGCTTGGGGGTCACATCCCAGGCCTTCCCTGGCCAGGAAAGCAGAGTTGGAAAGAGCCTTTTTAATTTGGAGGGCCCAGAACGGTCTAGCCAGTTGCCCCGGAAAGGAAGCCCTGCGTGGCATGAGTGCCAGACACTGCACAGCTTCAGTGGGTCCTATGTTATGGCACCGTCTTTTAAGGTTGAGGTATTTACCTTTATTTATTCCTATAAATTGACTGGATGGGGGAGGGCAATTGATTTCTCTTGGCACCTGGCAAGAACAGAGGTCAGATTTGAGCCTAGGTCTGGGTTTCAGTTGTACACCCAGCATGTTCCGCTCCACGACCTTTCCCTAAAATAGTTGAGATGTTGGGTGTAAACCTGTGTGTACTGAACTCACCTGATCACATGCTGGTGTGATGGTTTTTCTCCGGTCTCTCTCTAGACTCCATGCTCGCAAACCAACACCGTGTGGAACGGAGGCTTCCTGAGTTTGTAAATGCTCAGTCTGCAGAGCTTGCTGAGTTTACTGTGAGGTTGCAGTTCCATTTCCCACACACCCAGTTTTGAGATAGAGGGGGCATGGGGAGGAAGTGGCCCCAGAGCAGAATGAGCCCCTTGGTCTTTGCTGTAGCCAGTGCTCCAGGCTAAAGAAGCACAGGGCGGGCAGCTCCAAGGCCTGAGTGTCTGTCTCTCTCTCCCCCTCTCTCTCAACCCCCCCCCCCCCCCCCCCGCCCCACCGTTTCTCTCTATCTTCACCAGCAGCAGCCCCGGGCTGCCTCATTGACACTGAAGGTATGGGGCACAGGTATGACTGGGGGTCTTCTGGCCATCTACGGACATAGAACCACATCCTCGGAAGCGTGGCACACTCATCCCCAGGTCCTGGCCTTCCTAAGGGCAGTTAAACATGTCAGACAAGTGATGTCTCAGGGACCACCCGTATACCAGGCCCAGCTCATTGTTACTAATTCTCAGCCACCAGGACTAGCATATGTGGGAGTCACTGTCACGAGCAGCCTAGGGAGGGAGTGGAATTAATTTTGGGAGTAGTCTGCTCAAAGTCCATTCAGTTCATACCCAGAGCTGAACACGCGCTGGGTTCACACACCTGTGGACTGATGGCTGGGACAGTCTCAGTGCTTGGTGAAAAAGAAAATGGGGATAGCATGCGCTTTCTGAACATTGACTACTGACTGCTTCTGCTGTTCCTGGTGGTGGCAGCGTTTCTTGTTTGTTTGGTTTTTGAGATGGAGTCTCACTCTGTTGCTGGAGTGCAGTGGCACAGTCTCACTGCAATCTCCACCTCCTGGGTTCAAGCAATTCTCCTGCCTCAGCCTCCCTAGCACCTGGGACTCCAGGCGCCTGCCACCATGCCCAGCTATTTTTAGTAGAGATGGGGTTTCACCGTATTGGCCAGGCTGATTTCGAGCTCCTGACCTCAAGTGATCCACGTGCTTTGGCCTCGTCAACTGCTGTGCTGGGTCCTTTTTTGCCTTCTGCTTTCACCTCAACCTTTTGGCAGAAAGAAAGAACTACAGAGGGCCTGTCATTGATACTTAGAGTGGCCAGTGCCCCTCACCTGTTGTTCTGAGCTCAGGCACATGTAGATGAACACAGATGCACACGCTCAGGTGTGTGTGCACACACACTGACATGCAAACACGTACAAACAAATCACGAATGGTATGGACCCTCCCCCCGCCCCCAGGCATGGACCCTCCCCCCTTCCCCAGGCACGGACCGAAGGCTTGCCTGTACCTCGGGACAGGGTAAGGGCTTCCTTGGACCCTGTACTCACTGGGGGGTTTCCCTGGCTGCCTTCGGTCGACTTGAATGGTGCAGCCGGTAAGTTCTCCTCCCCGGTAGAGAACTGAGACCTTAGACAAATAGCCAACCATCGTAGCTGCTCACTGCGGTGTGGGTAGATGATTAGACTGCGCTGCTGCTTTCTCCTTTCCTCTCAGGTTGATGAGTTGGAGCAGTTTAATTTGAGACTAGTAAATTTTGTAATTGGATTTAAAAGGGTGAAATGAGTGAACCTGGTTTCCACATTACCTTTACACCCCAGCAGGGGAAATGCTTGAGTCAGGTGTGGATCCGATGATTTTATTGTGCCAACATTAATATTGGGAGCACACACATAATCTGGAGTCAGCAGGTTCATCGACTAGTATCTCATTAAATTTTCAGGCAAAAGCTGCAAAAATTAATTGGAGGCATGTAATAGTTTAGAATGTGAGCCGGCTTATGGTAATATAAATTATATGAAGAGAAGACAGTTTTATATACTGAGAGAGGGAAAGCTGGTTTACTTTAATGAGAAGAGATAGAAATGTAGAGCTATTTTTTCATTACAGATACACTCTAAAATGTTTGGACTTAGTTGATGAATAGAGTTAATTCGCTGCTACAGTTCCAATAATTCATGTTGCACAGTTTAATGACTTCTAGATAAAAACAGGATTGAAATGTTAATTTCTCTGAAGAAATTGGGGCACTCTTGTATATCAGACTTCCCCCTCCTATTAAACCACTGGTTAATTTCACCAAAGAAGTCTCTGGGAGCCATTTCGAGCCGCGTAAACTTCTGTATTTCTTACCTGGGTTGGCTTCCTTTTTTTCAAACCTTAATGTATATGATCATCTTGGGTGAGAGAATGTGTTAGACAGAGCTGTGTGTAGGTAACGTGACTCAGCAGAGAGTTGCGTAGCTTTTGGTTTTGTGAACAACCACATGCTAGAATCTGCATTCTAGAGCCCAGTAACGTTGTTGGCAGGGAGAGGGATTATTTGGTTGTTGGCCGTCTGGTTCCTCGAGCGCTGTGCTGTCCCACTTCTGAGCTGGGAAATAGGAAGTATTGATCAGTCAGGGTTAGATTCATGGGGCGTCAGTCTCAAATCATGCAGGGATTTTGTCATCGTATTATTTTCTTTTGCATCTTGGTTTTCTTCTTCACAACCTTGAGACTTTTTTTTTCATAGGGTAGATTCAACAGAGTTCAGCGTCTTCTCTTTCTCTTTAACCTACTCTCAGAAGAAAGGACAAGAAGCAAGTATTAACTGTGGTAATGAGGTGCCGTCGAAGAGTGGGGCCACACAACTGAGGACTCCGATTGTATTTCCAGAGTTCTTATCATAACAAGAATGCAAACGTGTATTATTCAAACCACATACGTGTTGTGTTTTGCTATTTAGCCTTTGACAAAGGGGACAAAAAGTAACCCCCTAAGTGTTCAGGAGTAGAGGGAAGGGAAATGAACCCCGTGCACCCTGGGTGCCTTTGGGTGTGTGTTCAAAGGGCTTCATATAAAGAGCTGCCTTAGAGCCAAGGAGGTGTAAAGACTTGGTTTTGAGGTTAGGATGTCACAAGGCATCTACAAGGACTCCCGTTCCCCCCACCTTTATGACCACTGGGCCTTGACAAGGCTTAGTGAATGCTGAGTGGGGTCATCTTTAGCCTAAACCTGGAGTCACCATGGAGCTTTTGTGAACAGTGAGAAACGTACTGCTTCCTACAGAAACTGTGCTGTCTTGCAGAACTGTGCTGCAGCCTGGATCCCCAGGCCTCGTCCCTGCATATACCTAGTTTTGAGGTTAGGACATCACAAGGCATCTGCCAATATCGAAAACTCAGAAGGAGCCCCCAGACGTGGCACACGGTGGTGGGAAGAAGGAGCATCGAAATCCACTTCCTTCTGAGGCCCATAGTTCCAGAAAGACTAGTGTCCTCCGTGCATGCATGGTGACCGGGTTCTTGTCTGTTCCTGGTGGTGGGGCCTGGTGACCCCTAACGCTAACGAGGGTGGGAAGAGCTGTTCATTTTGTCCCTTTCTGGGTGAAATGAGGCTCCTCCTGCCCTCCTTGCCGGGTGGTCTTTCTGTTTTGCCCACATACCCTGGAAGCTTGGCTGGGCTGCGTGACTCCAGAGCAGCCTGGTGGATGCTGAGTATTTGCATTCAGATTCTTAGGCGTTGACCTTGGCCTTCTGGGACCGTACGCCCCCTCTGCTTGCCTTTGTTGGTCGAGACCTCACATTTAGGGATTCATTTTTTCCAAGGTCTATTTGTTCGCTTGGTGTGTGTCAAACTTCCTCCCAGAGCAGTGACATGGATGGGAACTGTGAGTGTGTTGAGAAACCTACCCTAAAAGATGGGACTGCCGTCATCCCAGGGGAGCTGATGTTCTCAGCTCCACCTCAGCCACCCTGGGCTGTGGGTCAACTTCTCCTGAATGAGCCTCTGCAGGACGGTGCCACCCAGCCTGGTAGCACTTGCTCCCTCCACACCTCTGGAGGCTGGCGCTCACCCTCATGCTCCTCATCTGTTCTGCTTTTTTGATGTACTTACTTGTCCCTTTCAGGATTTCATTACGTCCTATGTTGGTTTAAAAAAAAAAAAAAATTAACTTCCCTGTAATGAGCCCCAGCCATTTCTTAGCACTCCTAGTTTGGAACTTCAGAGATTTCAACTTAGGATTCCTTTAAGGCAGGAGTTTCTACTGTTAACGTTCTGTTGGCATTCCTCGTTGTGGGGAGCTATCCCACACATCATAGGAGGTTCAACAGCATCCCCAACCTCGACCCACCCAATGCCAATGTCACCTCCCTCCCACCCCAGTGTGACAACCAGAAATGTCGCCAAATGTTGTCCCATGGCCCTAGGGTGAAAACACCCCTGCTTGAGAGCCATTGGTGAAGGGGTAGACATTTATTCCATGCCCGTGGTCATATTGTACTTGAGCCATACTGTGCTTGGCGTGGAAACACCCCGTAGCCCTCGTGAGAAGCCAGCACCATCCCTGAGCTGCGCACCTCTGCGTCGTCGTCCGTCCCTGAGCTGCCCACCTCCGCATCATCATTGCATCCTTGGGGTGTGATCCGGTGTTTGCGCCGGTGTTTGCACCCGTCCCTTTTCTCCCTGTTTGCAGACGGAGGGCCCCTTGCCGAGCTGTTGGCGCATGCCTGGCGCTTGGCTCCATGATGCTCACATGGGTGTTCATGACAGTGCATTTGACAGACAGATTTATTTGTCACCTTGTCAGGGTGACATGTTGGGATGGCTCCACCACTCGTGTGCCATTGACACTTGGCTGTCTGAAATCGGGACCAAGCATCCTGGAGACTGATCCGAACGAGGCTTATCAGCACCAGGCATAACTTACCGCCTGCTTCCCCCTGTTTCTTTAACTTCTAATTGAAACCATTTAGTTACCACCCCTGCTGCTAGGAATCTGGGGACAATTAGGAAAGTCCCATCTGTCCTTTGAACCACATTATATTGCTTTTCTGCTTGAGATCTCGAGGAGACGGCGCATTCTAGCAGCCGCGTCTTTGTCTCGCCTCCCACTGGATGGTTTTTATCCCACTTGAGTGAGTTATAGCAACTCTTTAATTCAGTTATCTCTCCAATGCGGGCTTGAAGATGATTTAGTGGAATCGAACACCTGGGTTTTCCACTGCAGAGCAGTGACTCCCAACCAGGCCGTGGGTAGGTTTTTGCGTTTTGACTTCCAGCCTCAGCCACGCGTGTTCTGCGCTGCCTCCCGAGCCTCCTGGCACAAGCCCCTACTTACAGTTCCAAGGAGTAGATTGGAAATGGCAGATGCCATGGGCTTTGCCAGCCATTCCCGAAGGCAAGGAATTATCTGTCCAGTGATATTAGGTCACTGCATTCCCAGCCAGCTGTGTGGAAAGAGGGGAGGGGGTGGGGCTGCCTGGGTGACGGGCAGGAAGGCCATTTATAAATTCAAGTGTGGTAAACAGTCGCCTCTCCTGCTTCGGTATTTGACTTGGAGTTAAACAAAGTGTCGTGGGTGGGAGGTGTATCATACGATCATTTTAACCATTGTGCCTTTTAATGTGGAAAATCTGCCCAAAATAGGAGCTGTTGCAGTGATTCACATATACAAAGGAGTGGCTCAAACTCTCAGAGCAGCACCCAGGATCAGAAAGGGCCGCTGGAATTCTGGAGAATTCCGTGATCGAGCCTGTCTGCCTTGTTTTCCTTGTGGGCCCCGGGATTCCCGTGGATATCCCCACCCTCAGATTGCTGGAGTAGAAAACTTATTTTTCCAAAACACTGAGGTGTTTTTGAGCCCAGTATCAGGTTAAAGGTGCTCACTGAGAAAGCGTGCAGGGTGGATGTGACCAAGGAGTCCGCTTCCGACACTGGAGCAGGCATTGGCCAGTGCAGGCAAAGGGGGCTGAGATACGGAGTCAGGAAAGGGAACAGTTAGCTTGGGTCAGGAGTCACCAGACACTGACTGCACGGAGTGCCATTCAAGCACCGCGTAATGCTGGTGCTCCTGTTGGGTCCTGAGTTTTGAGGTGGGCCGTGGCCCCTTCGAAACTCGGGAAGCGCATGCTGCCCCCACTGCTCTGGGGGCAGGCTGTTCTCTGGCCATGCTTCCTGTACTCATCTCACTGGGTGTTGCTGTCATGTGGAAACTGGATGTCTTACAGAAATCCTTTCTCCTAAACGTAGGGCAGTGGCCGCATTGGGTACGTTTGGAAAGAAATAGCAGTCTGTCCTATAACATGGGCTTATCCAGAGATAGGACACCTGGTGACATCACCACCTCCCAGTGGCGCCACTCTGTCTGACTTGCTGCTATGGAACTAACCCTGTAACTGCCATGCATGCATGTGTATGTCTGTCTAGGTCTGTCCCCACATACTTGCTGGTGGTGGGTGGGAAGAAGATTAGTTAAGATACTGTCATAGATTGTGACTATGAAGTAATCCATTAGAATCTTGAGACAAGGAATGCTGGGAGTGGTGGCTCATGCCCAGCCCCTGCTCTACTGCGGGTGTGGTGGCAAATGCCTGTTGTCCAGCCACTAGGGAGGCAGGAGAATCTCTTGACCCCAGGAGGCAGAGGTTGCATTGAGCCGAGATCATGCCACTGTACTCCAGCCTGGGCAACAGAGAGAGAATTCGTCTAAAAAAAAAAAAAAAGAAATCTGACAAGGAAACCAGTGTCACCTTTCTATGAAAGTGTACACACATGCCCTTTGACCTAGTGATCTCCCTTCCCCACCCAATGCCAAAACAGCTTTAATGCAGCAAGGTTTTAGTCATGGTGTTACTTGACAGCAAAAGAAGAAGACAGATGACTCAAGCATCCAACAGTGGGAAAACAGCTAATTCTTTTTCAGATGATGCCTTCACAGTTTGAAATAATGTAAGTAGAATGTTCGTCTTAGAATGAAAAGTTTCAGTATCAAGTGTTGAACATTTATGAATAGCACCATGAACATAATCGTGGGGGAAGGTGAAGAGCAGCCGTTTGTAGTGATGAGCTTTAGCTGGTAGAATTTTGGGTGATTTTTTTTTTTTCCCCCCACAGCCTCTCCTCCTCCCCAAATTTCCTGTAATGAATATATCTTAAGGTTATTTTTCTTTTTTTTGAGACAGGGTCTCACTGTCACCCAGGCTGGAATGCAGTGGCGCCATCACAGCTCACAGAAGCCTTGACCTCCAGGTTCAAGTAGTCCTTGTGCCTCAGCTCTCCACATAGCTGAGACCGCAGGCATGCGTCACCATGTCCAGCTAATTTTCTGTTTGTTTGTAGAGATGGGGTCTCCCTGTGTTGCCCAGACTGGTCCCAAACTCCTGGGCTCATGTGACCCTCCTGCCTTGGCCTCCCAAAGTGCTGGGATTATAGGTGTGAGCCACTGCACCTGGCCTATATTACTTTTTAGCTAGGGAATAAAATAGCTGGTCACCCTGATGCTTCCAAAGGGATCATGCATTTGTTGAAGAGGGAAACAGTGCAATGCAAGATTTACAAAGACAGAGCTGATAACCCTCCCTCCGCACACCTCAGATACTGTCTTTCTCCTTGCCTTTACCAGAACATACAAGTGCATCTGAGCGTACGCAGGGTGTCTGTGCCGGCTTACTAAAGCAATCCTGTTACCCCTGCATTCCCATTTGATATGGCAGATCGTGTATAGTTATCACCGCAGATCAGTAGATCTCTCTAACACTTCCCTTTCCCTCTTACTGCCTTTGGGCCTTGGTGCACACCCAGGATTTACAGAAGTGGAGCCTGTGTACTTTCTGTGCTTTCGGTTTGTGTTGTCACGTCCCTTGTTTTTCAGTTGTCTCTCCTGGCAGACCCACGTGTGCTGGCATCTGGCTGCCTGGACTCAGTTCCTACCTCTGCCATTTGGTAGCTGTGTGACATCGGGAAAATGGCTGACCTTTTCCGTGTGTCAGTTTCCTCCTTAAATATGAGTAATAATAATACCATTTTTTAAGCTTGTACAGGATAAATGACTTATACCTGCAAATTACACGGACCAGTGCTTGGAGACGGAATCACTTTGCCAACTTGCTGTGAGCGTGGTTGGTGTTTACTTTCCTCATCTCCCAGTTTTATTTTGTTTGTTGATTTTATTTTATTTTATTTGTGGAGATGGGGTTTCACCATGTTGACCAGGATGGTCTCGATCTCTTGACCTGGTGATCCGCCTGCCTCGGGCTCCCAAAGTGCTGGGATTGTAGGCATGAGCCACCACGCCTGGCGTTTGTTTAATTTTTATTTGAGACGGGGTCTTGCTCTCTTGCCCAGGATGAGTACCATCACAGCTCACTGCAGCCTTGACTTCCTGGGCTCAAGCAGTCCTCCCACCTCAGCCTCCAGAATAGCTGGGATTGCAGGCAAGCACCACCATGCCCAGCTAATCTTTAAACTTGTAGAGGTTAGGTCTCACTGTTTTGCTTCGGCGGGTTTCAAACTCCTGGCCTCAAGTGATCCTCCCACCTTGGCCTCCCAAAGTGCTGGGATTACAGGTGTGACAACCTCACTGGCCCTCCTCAACCTTTTTTAAGAACCATTATTATTCCATAGTTTTTCTATGGAATCACGTAGAAACATGTCTTAAGTCTATAATCCAGTTTATGATACATATTCTTTGCATTTGACTGTTGTTTTACGTGTCAGCTAAATCCCACCCTTCCCCCCCCCGCCTTTTATTTATTTATTTATTTATTTATTTTTGAGACAGAGGCTTTCTGTCACCCAGGCTGGAGTGTAGTGGCACCGTCTCAGCTCACTGCAGCCTCATCCTCCTAAGTGCTGGAATTATAGGTGTGAGCCACCACACCAGGCCCCTAAAACTCTATTAAGTGCTTTTCAGCAATTGTTTTTAGAGGAAAATCCCTTTTTGCTTCTGCCTGCTCCCTTTACCTCCCCTGTCCACAAAATGGGAAGTTACCTGTCCAGAGGAAGCATCAGCTGCACTGATGGCTGTTGCATTGCAGCTGGCTGCTGGGGCCCCCCCATCCCCCGCCCAGCTGGAAGTGTTCCCAAGGACATCATCAGTGTGAGGACTTCAGGGGAGGGGCCAACAGAGGCTAAGATGAGAACCCTCCTGATGTGGCCCCACCCGTATGCCATTCCCTCAGTCAGCCAGATGACAAGTACTAGGAGTGTATTCTATAGAGCAGACATTTATTAAGTGCCTGCTGTATGTCAAGGACTGAGCTAGGACGCTGCAGGAAATGCATGTGTAGGTCAGTCCTGGATGCTGCCCTGCCTCAGCCTCCTGGAAGCGCCCTTTGCCTTCCATTCTCTGGCTGGTCCTTCTGGGTGTGTCCAGCCACTTTGAGCTGTGCCGCCTGATCTGCATGCTTTGCAAATGTGTGGACTCAGAAACAGCCCAAACAGTGGCCAGAAACTGTCCTTAAGAGGCTCCGGGCTGACAAAAGCGTCCTTTTATCGCCCCAGCTTAGCCTCCCCTAGACACCTGCACTTCTGAAGGTCAGCGGTCACCAAGTTGATCATCTCTTTCACAAAATAATTTCACTGATTCTGTCAGGCATTTCATTACGTTGATTTAAAATTTTTGTGTCAAACTCTGGTACTCTAGAATTGCCAGATGTTGAAAAACAAAATCCCATTGGTGGTGTTTGTTTCCCTTGACTCTTAGGAAAAGAGCAGCTTTTATTGTCTAAAATTTACTGTTGAGAGCACGTCTTTTAAAGTAAAAATATGTTTACAGCATATCATACTGAAACACTACGTGTAGGTCTCAGCTTGTTTTGAGGCATAAGTGACAAATATACTTGTGTGAGAGATGTTATTCTTCCCCTGTTAAAGAAATCAGAACGTGGCTTTTGTGTCTCTGATACTGATTTTACATCTTCGCAGCCGAATTTGTGAATCTCAGCTAGCGTGAAAGCCACACTTGTTACGGGAGGAAAGTGAGGTGGTTCTGTTTGGTATTTGTCTCATCCTGATCATTGGCTTGGAAGAACCAATAATGAAACTCTCTTAGGAGGGCTGGGAGCTCAGAGTTCTTAAACATGGGTGGGTTTACACAGTGGTGAGAAGCGGGGAGGGTGAAGAGTGTTATCTGCCCTCTCTTTGAGCAGGGCTGTGGATTTCTAGCCAGCGGAAACACTGTAATTTCCAGGAGAGAGACATTTTCAGGTGATGTAGGCTCATTCCCTGCAGTTCAGAAGGTAATGATCAACCCTGAGGTTATTGGGGAGATTTAAGCTCATCCATTGCTTTGATTGATTAATGGCTTTCTCTGAACCTGGTTGTGTGTGTTTGGCCACAATTGAGTGATGACTGACAGCAGCAGAGGAAATCCTCAATTGCATGGCAGGTGTCAGAAGAGGCTGCCTTGATGCCTCCCGTCATTGTTTGAATGGTAAAGAGACATTCTTTGTATGTTTATTACTCTTGATTTGGGGTCATGGTTATGTGTACTGTCTACCTGCCCGGGTCATCCCACTCCCATCCCTTCTCTGTTTCACTCTTGTTACCCAAGCTGGAGTGCAGTGGCACAATCTCGTCTCACCGCAACCTCCACCTACCAGGTTCAAATGATTCTCCTGCCTCAGCTTCCTGAGTAGCTGGATTACAGGCATGCGCCACGATGCCTGCTCATTTCGTATTTTTAGTAGAGATGGGGTTTCTCCATGTTGGCCAGGCTGCTCTCGAACTCCTGACCTCATGTGATCCACCCGCCTCAGCCTCTCAGAGTGCTGGGATTACAGGTGTGAGACACCGCGCCCGGCCTCTTTTCATTCTTCAGACACCCCCCACAGCGGTCTGCGCCTCTTGCCAACTTCCATCCACTATCTTGGTTCTGTGGTTACTCCTGCCGGCTGACTGCAGTGCTGCTCCGTGAACGGCTTGAATGACATTGTGCGGCATCTCTGACTCACAATAAGTACCAGTTTCAGTAGTCTTGACAGGATCTCCTGTGACCTCTCGTCACTTTAGTTTAGCTCTTGGTGGCTCCACAGGCTCAGGCATCCTTGACAGGCTGTATTCTCTCTTGGTGGGCTGGCGTGCTAGATCAGGGTCTAGGGCCAGATGTGAGCAGTGCCTTGATTGTCTGAAGAGCTCACTGAAGGAGGTGGGGATGAAGGGTGCAGGAAGGTACTTGAGGCTGCTGAGCCCAGAGAGAAAGCACCTGTCCTCAGAGCATTGTCCCGGGAAACGGGGGGGCAACCAGTTCCAGAGGGCAGAACTGGGCTGGGAGACAAGGAAGCTCAGCTCTTGTAGATTGAGAGAATTTGTAAAGCTACATAAGCTATCCATCAGCAAGTGAGAGCACATATGTGCCGTGAGCTGCAGACAGGCCACCCGGCCTCAAGGGGTGTGGTGGCATGCAGTGGGAGGCGCCGTTAAGGATCCCAAAGACCTCTTGTGCTTAAACAAAGCTGAGTTGTTCAACATGCTGCTGGAGGTGGGGTCTTATTGTTGGTCAAACTGAGGACTAAGTTGGGGGGATGAGAGGCATGTGAGGGAGTGCTAGGTCAATACAGCGACAAAAGGACAAGGCTCAGGCTCTTTGGAGGACAGGCCTTTACCTGCCAGGGGGTCTGGGGTGGACATTTGTCCTCAGGGATGTCTTCTTTATAATAACCTGTGGAAGAGAGCCCCGTGCCTCCTGGGCCACGGACCTTCACCGATGCTTCTGCCCTTAAGAAGTAATTGTTCTTGGCTGGGCATGGTGGCTCACACCTGTAATCCCTTTGGGGAGGCCGAGGTGGGCAGATTACCTGAGACCAGCCTGGCCAACATGATAAAACCCGATCTCTACTAAAAATACAAAAATCAGCTGGACGTGGTGGCGCGTGCCTGTAATCCCAGCTACTCGGGAGGCTGAGACACGAGAATCGCTTGAACCCAGGAGGCAAGGGTTGCAGGGAATC